TCTTAACCAACGCGCCACTCGGCCGGCCCCATCTTCTCTTCTGAGTGTTGAGGCCGTGGATCTGCCTTGTCAGAATTTGGGGATTCCGTCTCTAAAAATGAACTGCAGGGGCTAGCTGATGAGTATGGTAGCTCACTGAATTTCTGAAATCGAATAATTTTTCCAAACCATCTCCAGGGGCCTGGGTGTAGCTCATTAAACATGAGACCTGAAGTATCTTTTTCTGCAATGGAATGAACAAATGCAGGGGAAGAGAAACATATGTTGGCCCCAGCAGAATTGGTGTGAGAAATGGCCTGGTCAGTGTCGTAAGGAGCTCCTCGCGAACTCCCTGGGCATGCTCGCCCGCCTGACAAGGGGCAGAGGAAGCAGGGAAGGCCCTTGTTCCTTGGCATCAGGTTGCCTGGCTCTCCCCTGGCCTGAAGGACCCCCTTGAAGATACTAGACTCTATCTTTCTCTCTCCATTTTTTAGAGAAGACCTCTGGACTTTCTTCACCTTTTGTTTTACAGAAGAGGATGTGGAGAACTTTGATGTGACCAATTTGTCTCAGGACATGCTGCGAAGCATTGAAGCTGACAGCTTTTGGTGCATGAGCAAGCTGCTGGATGGAATCCAAGTGAGCAGGCTCTGCCCTTGGGGGACGCCTGGGTCCAGGGGTTCCTGTAGGCCTTTGGGTCCCTTATTGCTCTTCTGCATCAGACAGCCCCCCACCCCCGCATGGCTCCTCCTTTTTTTGGTTCATCCATTTCTACCTTTTTCATTAGCTTTACAGCTTTGAAAAGGCAATGGTCTAGTGTCCCCTGGAGTCTCAGGAAGTCTCCACATGGCCCTGGCGTTGTCATTAGAGCATGTCCCTTTGTGCTGCACCCAAGCCATGTGGCTTGCCTCGAGCGTGCAGGGCTCTGCTAGGCTTTCCCCACGCCCTGCTGTTCTGTAGTTTCCTTTGTTCCCCCAAACACTGGCACCAGCTTTGGAAAAACAGCTTGTGCTTTTAAACGTGTTTCTGTGAACTCGCTGGGTGGTAGCTTGACTGTTTGCAGTCCCTGTGTATCCTGGGCTCTGTGTCGTTTGCAGGATAACTACACCTTTGCACAGCCTGGGATCCAGAAGAAGGTGAAGGCACTGGAAGAGCTCGTCAGTCGGATTGATGGTAGGTTCAGAGGAACAGGGGTTCTCTAGCGGTAGCACAGTATGATTCTGATGTGNCAGCCCTGTTCTCAGAAAGAGGGAGCTCCTGCCTGGGACGGTTAGTGTAAGGAAGCCGCTCTTGCCTCACGCACTGCTGTGAGCCTGGTCCTGGAGCGTGGTCTGCAGTCCCTGGGGAGTGGGTCTGCTTCAACCTGTGGCCCAGAGCAGTTCCCTAAGGCATTGTTTGTGGTAGTGGGAGTAGGAGGCACCTGGGTATCTATCTGTCACTGGGGAATGCACACAGACAGTGGGGAAGGCACAGGAGGGGCAGTGAACAGCCACACACAAGGAGCTTAGAAATGTGATACAGAGCAAAACGAAAAAGGATTCTGAGCCGGGTTTTGGATCATTTAACTAAATTAATGGTATGTATATGGCCACCCCAAAAAACACTACATAATAAGTTTAAGTTAGGATAAAAAGCAAGATGTTATGTCTTGGAAGGTTTTGTCTTTTCTCAGTGTAATTTCTCAAATTGACCTTTGTATATTACCTGAAGTCTTCGTTTCTGCAAGCTTTGTATTGTTTTATAAAATCTTCTTTATGCTTTTTTGGTGATAAAAGACAGGTGTAGTCAATTGTAGCTTTTTTTTCTAAAAATATACATTTTTTTCTTGATTATAAGATTATGCTTACTGTAGAAATTTTGAAAAGTCTAGTAAAGCTTAAAGAAAATAAAAATCCTTTATCCCTACCACCTGGGGAATAAGGACATTAAACGTCGTCATGTATTTTGTTTTTCCGCTGTGCTTATGTAAACACACATAAATATTGTATGTACAGTATAAGAGTATACCATAAATAGTTTTGTACCTTGCTCCTTTCCCTTAACACAATGACATACTTTCCCATGCCATTACAAATTCCTAATAAACTTGCTCTAAAATAAACTCTATCCTGCCTACTGTGTGCCAGGCCCCCATTGTAAGCACTTTACATGTATTCACTGTGTCTGCACTTCGAGTCAGACTTCTAAGTTGTTCCCAGGGTCATAGCTTTTCTCACAAAGCACCCTACCTTCCCCAAAAGGGCTTTTACAGCCCTTGATTGTACAGGCCTTAAAAATGCTGTTTCTACAAGAGGAGGATCTGAGAGTTGTTATATATTGTCTCGAGGAGGTTTAGTTGCACATCTTAGTAATAATTCTCATAAATGAAAGGGCTGAATTCTGAAAACATTTTGTCAGATGTGTGTGTCTCTCTGCAGCACCAGGGACTGCAGTGAATGTCCTGTTTTCAAAATAGGACTTGTGGCCTAAGGCGAGAAGCCGCCTTGGATGCAGAACCCAAGGGCCTGAACGTTTCCATGTGTGGCAGCTGACAGGCATGCAGGGGCCTGTGGGTTGACGTGGCCTGTCTTATTGGGCAAGGAGAGCCTTTCTTAGTGCTTCCACTTCTCTGTGGCAGGAAGGAAGCATCGCATGGACTTTTCCTTTTTCGGATTTCTAGAGGAGTCCTTATGTTCTCCCCACTTGGATCTCAGACCAGACAGAGAGCTTCCCACTCCTGTTTCTTAGTGTGGGGTTTCCATGAGAGCTAATGTATGAGGTGTCATTGAACAGTATGGTGAATGTTAAATTAAAAAAAATTATTACAGTAAAACACACATTGCCATTAATCCCCTCAAAATACTCCCCCTGGCTTCAAACACACTTATCCCATCATTCTTGCCACTTTCTGAAACAGTTCTGGAAGTCCTCTTTCACGAGTGTCTTTAGTTGTGCTGTCATGGCTGCCTCGATATCCTGAATCATTTTGACTTTGGGGAAGAGCCAGAAGTCATATGGTGCCAGATCCAGTGAATAAGGTGGATGAGGACACACCGT